AAAGAATATCTTATCACATTATGATGAGGAAACATCTAAACAGCACTTTTTGCCACCATTACAGCAGGTATGACCCTTAAGTGGGTAAAAATATATATATAATGTTAGAAATTATGATAACGTTAGTCGTTAAATATCTTAATATAGGAATTACCTTTTTACAGTGAGTACCATGACCATAAACTGAACCCTGAGCATTCAACAAATGGAAATGTTAAGAACATTAAGTATATTACCGCAGGCAAACAAGTATCTCCTGAAGCACATCTTTCGCCCTGTACAGATAGATGAAATATAAAGCATGATGAGCTACACTTATTGTTTTAAAATGCCCTATAATAGGATGTGAAAGTAAAGCACATTACCTTATCACAGTAGCCGCCATTTGGACATTTTTCCGCATCCTAATGTGCAACAAATAGAACATGTTATAGCAACGATAATTGAATCAATATGTAAGAAAGAAGAAATGACGTCCATTACCAAAGGTATACAACCACCACCCGAAGTGCATTTGTCCCCCTGTTATAATGCATATTGTTAGTAATAATTGATATTTTAATGATACCCTATAATAAGTGGAGGTTACCTTATCACAGTGGTAGCCATTTCCACAGTCTTCTGCACCCTTGAATGTTCAACAAATTAAAATGATTTTTTTAAAGTTAATATTTTATATAATTTCACATTGGATGTAAGAACGTAGGGTTAATTACCGGAGGCAAACAACCGCCTGGAAGACATTTATCGTTCTAACATACACAAAACACGTCAGAATTTAATATCTCAACAGTTTCGTGGTTAAATAAAGAAATATTACCAAGCCGCAGCAATGATCTCCATCATCACAGCATTTTTTATCCGATCCCTGCGAGTAAAAATATAACATTAATAATTTTTAACAGTCAACGATACCATAATACAAGATATAAAATAAAAAAAAATCACAACTGCGCAAGCCGCACATCCGACGCCCTTAGTCTAAAATGTGCCAAATAGAACATTTATTAGTAAATAATAATAAAGATCACGTCATATAGTTAGAAAATGATGTCAATTACGTTTATTGGACTGGGCTACAAATGGAAATTGCATAGTATAATTAGTAATGTGATTGTAACGTATGAGATGAATTTCAACAAGGTATGATATTTTGGATTTAACCAATTGAATATACTGTATCAATACCACAAGAGAAAAAAAGGTGAATCATACCTCTCTATGCGTCAATCTAGTTGTTGACCTTTGAATTAACGTTTTCATAGTCTTTGCATGGGTTAGGTCCCTTTTATTACTTGAAATCCAAATGCTATGGGAATCAGCCGTGAGGAAAAAAGTCATTAGTAGAGATATAATAAGACCGAAGAAAATTTTCATGATTTATTTTATTAAAAAAGTAGTAAATAAGCAAATAGCAAAATATTACAGAACGAGTGGATTTCAGAATTTAAAACTACATTTTTATATACGTGTGTTTTAAACGTCATTTCTATTTTGGATATTATTCAAGGATGATCATTAACTAATGTGCATCATACTGACATCATATAATTTATAAATATGGAAAAAAAAACGAAAGCACTTTTTTTAATATCCGCACATCATACACTATAAAAAAAGTGTTTTATAAATTATTCCCCCACACGATCCCCCGAATTTATGATCTGGAATTATTAAAACTCCCGAAATGCATGTATATATGTTTTGCGTCATCGTCATTTAGTATTGATCCCTTAAATTCCTAAAAATAAATCGCCGATCAATTTTAAATTTTTTTTTCTCAGAAAAATTAAAAAATTTTTACCACACCTATGGCAAATGATCTTAGAAAGATTTCGTTATATGAACCGTTGGATAATTACTACCGGCTATTCACATATATAACAGGACCTGATTTTACGAATAAAAAACATCATCTTGAGATCAGCGGTAATTTTATTAGGGATTGGACATACAGAAACGAAACACTGATGTACTTTGAAATTATTTGGTAGATGGAACTGTGTGGATGACATAACCGCTAATTTATTTTTGAAAACAAAAAGCATTGTGGTTGACAGTTATCAAAAAATAGAAAAAATTCATTTAAGATTCCAAGAAGTATTCTGGGCAGTTTTGTTAGTATCTTCAATTAAGCTTGACACACATATACATCAAAAAATTAATGTTTATGCCATATCGATATCATTAAAAATATTAATAAGTTTAGATATGATTGATTACTACAGAAAAAAAAAGGATAGCTTTTATTTTTAAGCGCTAGTATTTTTTTACTTGTGAATGCAATGTTATTTGGGTATGGGTGTGTTAAAACTCCTAGTGCGTATTAGCGTATAAAGTCTCATCGCGTTTCTTTGTACCCGCAGTTAAAATTGTATACCACAAACCATCGGAAAATTCCGCACATATTGCACAAAAAAAAATCGCATTAAAACTGTGCCACAAATCTCGGGTTGAAACATATATAAATTGTGGTGTACATTGGAATAATAAATTTGCGATTTAAATCTTCCTCTATAAATGTGTTTTCAAATAACTAATGAACCGCAAAAAGAACAGAAACAAAATTTGTGCGCGATCTGCTCCATCCATAGCTGAAAGACACTGCACTAAATCTCGACGAGATTTATCTTTTTTTTCGCAAATTACTTAATTGTATTGAGCTAAATATATTTCTGATCTTAATCTTATATTTGACACAATTTGCATACAAAGGATAAAAAAGAAAGATAGCATTATATATAATATAGATAATATAAAGTTATGTTTTATGAAAAAATTATACGATTGTATTTCTATATATGTTATTATTTTAATCTCCATGATATATTTGTATTTCCGTTCTACTTCATATGAATTAGATAGTCATGCGACAACATGAAGCTGTGGCTAAGATATGGAGAAATAAAATTTACTTTTACATGCAAAATATATTTTTCTGAATAGATTTAGCATTAACTAATTTTTCATTTTCCTGGCAGTTTTCCCAGCTAAAATGGGGTATAACGTTAAGGATTACGAATATTTAAGGACGAAATTATAAAAATTTATATTATAATATGCAATATATAAATTGGTAGGCACGGTCAGTATAACTTCTCACATAATATCATGTCAAAAGATAGCAATAAAAACAAAACGCTCACTATTTGAAATTCTTTTCTATTATCTTTTCTTTGCTTATTACGTAAAATTTTTTTGATTTTGGATTATCATTTCGGTGTAATCGCATATAATCTTGTGACAGTCCTATTATAAAAAAAAAAAAAAAAAAATTTAGTATTTTACTAAGTGAAAGAAAGAGGAGGAACACGACCACCCGAATTCAAATTTCTATAAAAGTTTTGCTAGGCATCTAGTAGGAATGCATCCTATCGCCAAGAAGCCTATATGAAACTTCACCGAATGACGCGCCTATAGTGCAAGCTCGATCCTACCTCTTCAATCAGGATGATTCTTCTTTCTTCAGAATGGAAGTTGACGACCACTATTTTTTTAAATAAAATAAAATCCTAATATTAAATAAAAAATTAAAAAAATTAGTATTTGAAAGAGGAGGAATACGATCACCCGAATTCAAATTTCAATAAAAGTTTTGCTAAGCTTCTAGTAGGACTGCATTCTATCGCCAAGAAGCCTATATGAAACTTCACCGAATGACGCGCCTATCGATCCTACCTCTTCAATCAGGACGATTCTTTTTTCTTCAGAATGGAAGTTGACGACACCGTTTTTTAAATAAAAAATTCTAAGACAAAAAAAATTAAAATATTTTAGTATTTTACTAATTAAAAGAAAGAGGAGGAACTCGACCACCCGAATTCAAATTTCTATAAAAGTTTTGTTAGGCATCTAGTAGGATTGCATCCTATCGCCAAGAAGCCTATATGAAACTTCACCGAATGACGCGCCTATAGTGCTCGAT